CACATATATCAAATATATATCATGTCTCTCTTATGTTCCAAGCCTCTTAAGGCACATTCAATATTTCACCTTATTGAACATCTCCAACAAAGACAATAAGATTCAGCCCACCACCTAGGCAAAAGAGAATTAGAATGCTACTTCCCCAAGAGCCAGTCTTCTTTTGCAATTCATTTGCTGTGATCTGAAAATAGCAGAACCACAAGGTGAACATCACAATGGAGAAGAAAACCAAACAGATTTAAAAAGAATAATTTTTATAGATAGCTTCATTTCTGAGATCTACTAAGCACCCTGGGAAACAGAATAATTCACCACTCAAAAACAGCTAAGGTTTGAAGTATCTCTAATGGAAATTTGCTTCTCCTTAATAAGGTAACAAGCTCTAGCTCTAAGTGCAAATCAGGCTAATGAGGACCACTCCAGCCAGATTATATAGGTATGGATAAAGCATTGCTTTTGATGGCAAATTGGAAAACCTGAAGGTTTTATAATGGATGCTATATGGCTGCTGTAGAGCAGAAAGATTCAGTCATTAGACAGGAGAGCGAATGGTTAGGTCTTTTTCAGTTTCACAGAAGGGAAGGAAGGAGAATCTTTTGCAGAAAAAGTTCTAAATACAAGACTCTGTTCTGGGGGTTGCAAGTGGATTAAAGATGAGTAAAAGTCGTTACATGTGGAAAATAAAAAATATTCAATCATAAAAGTACCTGTCATGAAGTATAAACTGGAAAATATGTAGCTATATAAGAGGCAAAAAACAAAAAGTTTACACATTTTGTTAGAAGAAATAAGTAAAAGCTTGTAGAGGAAACACCTGTGGCAAGCAGACTCTAAGATGGCCTCTAGTAACCCCCATCCTGTTCGTCTTCGTGCCTATATAATCCCCTCCACTTGAGTGTGAGCTGGGCCTGTGACTTGCTTCTAACCAACAAAATATGGTAAAGATGATGAGATATCACTTCCATGAGTAGGTTATATAAGACCATAACTTCCTTTAATTTTTTTTTTTTAATTTCTTCCTAGGATTTCTGTAACTTCCTTTTGATAGCTGACTCTCTCTTGTTGGATCTGAGGAAGGAAGTTGCCATACAGAGAGGCCTGTGTGGTGAGCAGCTGTAGGCAGCCTCTGGCCAACAGCCAGCAAGCAGCAGAGGTCCTCAGTCTGAAAGCCCACAGGAACTGAATCTGGCAAACAGCCAAAGAGGCCTGGCAGCCTCCCCAGTTGAGCCTTCAGATGACTGACACCTTGACTGCAACCTTGTGAGGAACCCCAAAGCAGAGGACTTAGATGAACTAAATCCAGATTCTTGACCCACAGAAACTATACAATAATAAATGTGTTGATTTAAGCCATTAGGTTTATGGCAATTTGTTACACAATGATAGATAACTCATACACATCTAAAATGACATTTGGGGAATGGGAGGCATTTTCACAGCAGATGAGGAGTTAGGTAGCATTCACGGCAAAAAAAAGGAAGCAGAGACACACAGGGCAGAAGAGGGATGAAGTGCTTAGGAACAATACAAAGTTCAGTTTGGCTGGCACTAAGTCTTAAGTGGGCAGGTACAAGAGCAAAGGCTGGAGAGGCAGGCAGGAGGCCCATGGTGGGCAAGCAGCCAAAGAGCATTAAAGCTCACCACCAACACCAAGTGGTCTGGGAACCTCTGCAGGAACACTCATTTGATACTTGTTACATCAAGAAGCAACAAGCTGCAAAAAATGGTTTGGAAAATGCCCATAATGAAATGCTATGCTTTATCCTTTTTAAGGTGCTTTCTTTTCCATTACCTCATTTGATTTATGCAAGAATCGGTTACATTGTCAAGGCAGGAATTTATTATGAAGGTTTCTTACAAATAAGGAAAATGAAGCACCCACAGGTAAGAATGATTGGCAAAGGCTCTTGTTCAGTATTTTTTTTTTCCTACTAAGAGTGTTGCCACATTTTGTTGGATCCCCCTTCCCTGGTAGAGAATGAACACAGCCAGCTAGACAGGTTTGGATTCCAGCCCAACTGCACCAGGGTGGGCCCAGGGAGCATTCATACCTGGAACAGAGGTGTAATGGGGCCTGGGCGAAGTGCAAAGTCAAGGGTGCAGAATGTCTAAACTACAGAAAGCAGGTACCAAAGGGACTCTAAAATAGGAGAGCAAAACGAGTGCCATTCAGAGGCAAGCCTATCAAATTAATAGGCAATTGCTTCTTCTCACTCAAGCAAATGAGTCAGAGCTAAGGGGACCAGCCACATGGGCATTGGCTAACTGAGGAGCAGAGATGAGGGACTTTACTATGCAGCTGAGCTTTCATTCAGAGGACTACAGAAGAGGTATGCAGGGTGGAAGGCTGGTCCTGTTTAATGGGACAGAGGTGACATATTCATTTTTTAATGTTTGGGGTGTTTTGTTTTTTTTTTAAGCATTATCTGAAAACCAGGGACAGTTTTCAGTTGTAAAATGTTATATAAGATCTGTCCTTAATGACAGACATTCTACAACCAGAGTAGGGCAGCTATCAGTTCCCTCTCCTCATCCAGAGCCACACAACACAGTTTTTATCCAATAGACTTATCTGGGATCTTCAACAGCTTTTTGAAAAATCTCAACAGTTTATAACTATCATTGCTCTAAGTATATTAGTCAGGCAAAGATTTCCTCTGGCATGTAGCTACATAACTTGAAAAACCTAGCTGATAATACTCTAAGGGGAATGGAAATTATTAATATTTAGGGTGATCCAAAGGGCAATCAATACCAATAAGATGAATTTATAGGCAAGTATAATACCGCTGGAGTAACAATGAAAGGGTGTTTAAAAAAGAAAAAATATATACAATACCTTGAGGAAGAGGGTTAAACACCAAGTTTCAAAATAAGCTTTATTACTCAACTGAATAAACCTGGCACATGCTGATCAGAGGGATAAAAAAGGAAGAGCTACTGAGCTTTCCCTTCCTGGAGTCTGAAGACCTGAAATCTAACTTCACAAACAGCTTCAGAATCTCAGGAAGAGGGAAGCGGAGAGGAAGACATGAAATGTCCCCATGTAGAGCCAGTTCTCAGGTTCCTGGGTATTCTGTATGTTCAATAAATACCAAATTGAACTTTTTCAATTCATTCTTACAAAATAATGGTTAAATGCAAAAGAGAGAGGGGCCTTCCCTGACTAAAAGCTGATTTTAAATAATTCTAAGAATTAGTTTTAAATAAATTATTTTCAATCACCTGTCACCTATTAAGGGAAAGAGAGGCATTCCTTCATTTCTTTTTTTTTTTATTTCAGCATATTATGGGGGTACAAATGTTTAGGTTATGTATATTGCCCTTGCCCCACCCGAGTCAGAGCTTCAAGTGTGTCCATTGCATTCATTATGTATGTATATACCCATTGCCTCCTCCCCCCTCCCATCTACCTGACACCCGATGAATGTTACTCCTAAATGTGCACTTACGTGTTGATCAGTTAAAACCAATTTGATGATGAGTACATGTGGTGCTTATTTTTCCATTCTTGGGATACTTCACTTAGTAGAATGGGTTCCAGCTCTATCCAGGATAATACAAGAGGTGCTTCTTAAAAGTACTCATTTCTCATCTCTTCCTTCTTACTTCCTACTATGGTTTGAATATTTGTCCCTTCCAAAACTCATGTTGAAATTTAATCCCCAATGTGGCAGTATTGACAGAGCCTTTAAAAGGTGACTGGATCATGAGGGCTCTGCGGTTATCATGAGAAGCTTTATAAGAAGAGGAAGAGAGACCTGAGCCAGCATGCTCAGCCCTCTTAGCATGCAATATGTTACAATACTCTGCACCATCTACACTCTTTAGAGAGCCCCCACCAGCAAGAAGGCCCTCAACAGATGTGGCCCCTTGACCTTGGGCTTTCACCCTCCATAACCATAGGAAATAAATTCCTTTCCTTTATAAATTACCCAGTTTCAGGGTAAGCAATAGAAAATAGACTGAGACACTTCCATACACTTTTCTTCTAGGTTTTATACAAGGCTCTCAAAATCGTTATCAGAGTTACCTCCCCTCTACCCCTGAATTTTCCAAATCTATCAACTTGTGCCCTGGTTTTATAGGACAATGATCACTTCAGATAATTACAAGCATAGTTCATCTACTCAAAAATCTCATCAGTTTCCCATACCTTTAATTGATAATGTTCAAATATTTAACTTTCACCAACACTCCTATGGGTCTATATGTCTATTTCCAATTGCCTAGTGGATGTCATGAACTGAATGTCCACTATGAAATTCAAGTCAGCATATGATCAGAACCTGAATTCATAGTCCTTCTCATCCTTGGTCTCATTTTTTTCATTTAAGGATGGCAGCATCCATGCAGTTGCTAAGCTAGGAATCAAGTTACTGTCAATCTTGAATCCTTCTCTGTCCAAGTCCCATAACTGATCTGCCAGGGAACTCTGTCAATTCTAGTTCTAAAATGTCGCTAATCTATTCCTTCCTCTGCATTGCAGCTGCTATTACTCTTAGTCAGGTCTTCCAGCAACTCTAGTCTTAACATTCTCCTGCCATGCCCCAGTTTCTCCCCTCTAATGATCAGTATTCTTTCAGTAACAATCTCGGATGACTCTCCCCTATCCAAAGTTCTTAGCAGCCACAGATAACTTTGCAAAACCTCATCACAGCCTCTTTTTTTCTAGCCTCTTCTCCAGGCTCCCTACCATGCATTCTATATTAGTCTCACGATAGGTATTACTGTACCCACCATCCACCCTGTCCATACCAAGTATATTCTTATCCTCTTTCACCTGGCAAGCCCTACTCATCCTTCAAGTCCCAAAGAACATGTCGTGTTCTTTTTTCATCTAATAACTTTGTTTCCAGTCCTGATTCCACGTGACATTTCAGCTCCAGAGCCATCAAGTGATGGAGAAACATATCTAATGGATCACTGCCAGTCAATATGTTGGTTCTCCTTGGGTCAAGAGTCCACTCATGGTTCAACCAAGGCCCTGGGGATAGCAGCAGACTGTATTTATCACTTTGGCAGGGGTGAGTCCCACTGAATGGGCTAGAACAGGCTAGATTCAGAACAAGTCTGTTACTGTCTTTCTTCTTAAGCACTACCTGAATGACCACTACTTAGATTTTACTTTATATTCACCTTTCTTTCCCCAGCAAGTAACATAAAGCCTGGTGTGTGCATAATCTCACTTAGGTCCCTATTCTTAAACATATAAAATAGTATAATCCCCACTTACAAAAGAAAACCTTGGGACCAGAGAAGAAAAGTGATTTGTCCAAGTTCACAAGGCAAGTGAGTAGCAGAGCAGAACTGGAGGCCAGTTCACATCACCTTTTACCACACAGCTCTCTTCCTCAGTTCCCAGATTTCTTCATGATGATGCCCACCAGGATTCAAAAGCCTTATATAACATGCCAGGCCTGTCAGTACCTTTGTATCTGCTTGGTTGCTTTTTGTTAAAATGATATAAAATTCAACTCAAACTGGTTTACATAGCAAATGTGGCTCATTAGTTCATGTAATTGGAAATCCAGAGGTAGGAAGGGCTTCAGGGTTAGTTGATGCAGCTTATTAATGGCTGTATGGACTCAGATTCTTTTCTGGCTCTTCACTCTTCTATCCATAATACTCAGCAAGTCACAGGATAGATGCCAAAAGCAAGAAAGGATAAATGTTGCCTTGTTCATACCCATCAGGAAACTACTTATGCCACAGAATTCCAAGCAAGAGTCACCCTAATTGGGCTGCTTAGGTCACATGCCTATAGGGAAGAGGCAATAGTCTAAAGCTACGATGCCCAATAAATTTGCCACTAACTACATGTAACTATTTAAAATAAAATTAAATACAATTAAAAATCAGTTTCTTAGTCACACTTAGACTTATTTAGAGTGACCAGCTTATTTAGAGTGCTCAACAGCCACATGTGGCTACTGGCTACAGTATTGGACAGTACAGATTAGAACATTTCTATTGTTGCCAAAAGTTCTATTGGTATAAGGCAATCAAGTATACCAAGCAACTTGTAGAAGGCAACCAAGACCCAGCTCAATAGCTGGGGTCAACTTCACCCAAAGTATAGGGAATTTGGGGAAGAAGCAGATCCAGATGAAAATCTGTGTAGCTATGGGAAAGGGCAAAGGGTGAGCAATGAACAATTCCCAACACATTCTCATAGGAAGAAATTAAACTGACATGTCATGACTTGTTCTTTAAAAAAAAAAAAGACCTATTGTAGAAATTTTTATTATAGGTATAAGTATTTTTCTTTTATGAACTCACTAACTTCCTGTGGGTCACTGGACAAGCCAAGTAACTTCTCTGAGCCTCAGTTTCCTCGTCTGTAAAACAAAAGGGGTGAACTAGATCAGTTGTTTCTAATCTTTTACGCAGTTTTTTTTACAGCAGATTTTTAAAAATTAATTTTTGCCTATGATCTCACACCTGGATGTATTTTTAATAAAAACTGCTTCTCCAGTTAATTTTCTATCCTTTTTTAAAAATCAAAAACATATAACTGCTAATTAGAGCTTCTGATCAGCAAAAGTCAATGTAACTATGATAGGCTGGTATTGTCTGCATCAAAAGTGATGTAAGTTGACCTTTTAGTCTCACTAAAAGCAATTTACCATTATTTGGTGTTATAAAATAGTATCTGCAAATAATGTAAAGTGCCCCACTAATAGTCATTATGGGTAGACTGTCATATGTCAAGAAGAACACATGATCTTGTAGGACACATCCAGGGTCAGAATTTTAGGGTATCGGTGGCAATGTAATATAATTGTAAACAGACATGACCGGTAACTCCATACTTTATCACTAGCATGGTGTGGCCTGACCTGGACAGCACCAGAGAGAGAGATCAGCAGATGGAATACAAAGAAAAATTCCAAGGGTGACAGGAGTCTAGTAGCATGGCATAGGAAATAAGGAGAAAATGGTACCATTACTCAGAAAAGTTGTTCTTTCCTTTTAATTACCAGTAAACTCAAGAAAAATGGATTATAAAATAATCCAGGGAGCCAAGTATAAAGCTAAAAGTATAAAGCAAGCAAGAGCCAGGAGTGCCATATGGAAAGGGTGCTAGAAGAGCCATGCCAATAATGACTTCAGAGACCCTCAAATCTTTATTCACTCTAACTGAGATAGGTAGGCACACACTGTGACTGACATGCTAGAGGCCTGGGAACCCCAATTTCCAGATAACAGGATGAACATTTGCGAGAAATTTTCCTTTTACTTAAGTTTCTATTCCAATAATTTTGAACTAAAAGTGCTAGTAAGAAGTCTGAATTGCTCGCTAGCTATAAGGGATAGAGTAGGACGGAGTATATTCTATAAAATAAATTATTTGTAATGTTAGAAAAATGTTCCAAAACCCAAGCCCCCTACACCTGTTGATGTGTCAAACAGAAACTAGGCAAGTAGGTATGAATGACTCCAGGAAAAAATATGAGAAGAGGAGAAGTGAAAGGGAAAAGTCTGAAAAGGAGCTGGGCAAGCTCCAGTTATATTTCAATAAAGAACAGATGTAATTATTATTATTTCAAGATTTCTTAAAATTCATCATGATTTTCTATTTTTGTTAACCCCCTCTAATAACTATGTATTTAACAACCAACAAAAATCCATTAAAAAAAAAACCTCACATTTCTCAAAAAGCTAAACATAGACTTATCCTATGACCCAGCGATTCTACTCCTATGTACATGTGTTGGTATACAAAAAATTGAAAACAGGAATTCAAACAAATACTTGCACAGCAGTGTTCATTTCAGCATTATTCACAATAACCAAAGGTGGAAATAATTCAAGTGTCCATCAACATGGATGGACAAACAAAAATGTGGTATATATAATATAATGGAATATTATTCAGCCACAAGAGTGATGACATTCTGATACATGGTATAACATAGATGAACCTTCAAAACATTATGCTAACTGAAATAAGCCAGACACAAAGGACAGATATTATATGATTCCACTTATATGAAATATCTAGAATAGGCAAATTTCATGAGATGAAATAGATTAGTTGCTATTAGGAGTTGAAGGGAAGGGGAAAATGAGGAATTGTTATTAATGGTTATGACTTTCTATTTGGGGTGATAAAAAAGTTTGGGAAGTAGTAGTAATAGTTGCACAACACAGGGAAAGTAACTAAAGCCACTGAATTGTACACTTAAAAATGGTTAAAATGGAAAAATTTTTAACACAATAAAAAATATTTTTAACTCACAAACATTTCCATTTGTTATAGAGACTCCAGGTTAGGGGACAATTTGATAAACAATGTATACTGCTTTGAAGGAGGGGAACCCAGATGGCAGGAGAAGAAAACAGGTAAGCCATTGTCCTCTGACAGTCCCTTAAAAGAACTCTTAAGGAGTTCCTCAAGGAACTAACTTGATGCTAATGACTACTTAAACTACATTTCCAGTTCAAACCTGTCATGAACTTCAATCTGTATTTCCAATTACATATGACCATCTCAGATTTACCATATCTAAAAGAAACTCTTTGATAATAAAAAAGTATAAATTAGTGACAAATAAAAATAGTAGAAATAAATTTCTATTAAAAATTAAACAGACAAGTCACAACGGTTAAAGAGGAGGGGGAAACTGAAAGGAGTTATGATCAGATACAGAGGAAATTAAGCAATTGAAAATATTTTGTATAAGTCTATGCTAATACTTTAGAATATATGATTAAAATGTATAATTTTCCTGAAAAATATTGACTATCAAAATTAACATAAGAAAAGAAACTATAGAAATCAATAATTATCAGAGATCAAGAAAGCTGCCAAAGAAAGTTCTAGCCCATTTGTCAAGTATGAGTTCTTTAAGTGCTTTAATCACTGAGAATAATTGATTGCTCTCAATGCTATTTTAACTATTCCAAAGCAATGAGAAAAAGGAAGGCTTCCCAATTCTTCCTACAAAGTTAATAGAGTCTAATACTAAAGCACAACACAGACAACACAACACAACACAACACAATAAAACACAGACAACACAATAAAACGAAACTGCAGGCCAATCTTACATTTTATTATATATCCAAAAATCATAAATAAATTATTAGCAAACAGAACTGAGTTACATGTTAAAGCATGATACATACCATAACTAAATGAGGGCCATGGTCATTCAAGGAATGTAAGAATTATTCAATACTATATGTGACCATGTTAACAAACCAAAGAGAAAAAACAGCATCTTGAAAGACACTCAAAAGGCATTTAAAAAAATTTTAATATCTAATCCCAAAAGAATGGATTTTATTACTAAGAAACTTTTAGTAAAAAGAGGACACTTGGTTAACTTGGTCTCAAGCCAACAACCAGCATTTTGCTTGAGGATTTAATACTGGAAGCATTCCCATTAAAGTCAGGAACAAAGCAATCACCACTATTATATAATACAGTTCTTAAAGCAATGGTCAATGAAATAAGGTAATAAATAAGAGCCACAAAATTAAGAAAGGAAGGGGCAAAATTATTATTTGCAGAAAAAATTATTTTATACCTAGAAAATCAAAACCAAACACAAAATTATTAGAAGTAATAAGAGCATTCATTCATTAAGGTATCTAGTTAAGAAATACACAAAAAACTACAGAGCTGGGAAGAGGCACTGATGTTGCTACCATCTCATTTCTGTGCCTGACCCCTCTCATAACCCATGATGCCGAGGCCACTGCCAGAGGCCAAAAGAGTCAGGCTGAACCCAGGCTGAGCTGAAGGCGCATGCTATTCTGGTCTCCTAGTCCCACCCCACCTGAAGAAATGAGTAGTGGATTAGCTCCACCTAAGAGCACAGTATATTTTCCAAGTATGGCAACTATGTAAAGATTATTATAATGAAAGATAAAGATACCAGGAAGAGTAAAAGTGTTGCATTTACTTCATTTCTGGATAAAGACTCCACAAAACTGTACCAGGGCAATAAACAACAAACTGTGATTTGGTACAGTGATACAAGCAAGCATTGCTATTAACAGTGGAAGAACAGCTGGTTCATTGAAGGTGAAATGACTTTGACAAATCTAAGTGTTATGAATGTGGGGAAAGTGGACACTTAAGTTATGCCTGTCCTAAAAATCTGCTTAGAAAACGTGAACCTCCAAAAAGGAAAGAAAAAAGAAAATTCCTAAAACAGAAGAAGAAATTGAGGAAGTGGAAGAAAGTGAACATGAAAGCCATAGCATTCGAGCAAGCCAAAATTGAAGAACAACAAAAAAAATGGAAACCCAGTTCAGGGAGTCCCTCAACATCAGATAATTCAAGATGCCCAAGGATAAAGAAAAGCACATGTTCCAGTGATGATGAAGAACTTGGTGATTAAAATTACATTTATTTTGTAAATATCATTAAAATAATAAAATCTTAGAGTTAAGTACTAAAGATTACTTTTAGAATTTCAGCATAAGAACACTTAATACCAGTTTTTTACTACAAAATGGTTCATAGGAAATTTAAAAATAAGTTTAAATAAAGCATCATGTTTCTATTTTGCCTGAGCACAACAATAAAAATTAAGATTTGCTAGTAACAATCTTGAAAACAGCTAATTTTAACAAAAATAAGAAAACTTAATACTATCATATTAAGGCTATGGCCATCCCCCCAAAAAGACAGATATTTTAAAAGATTTACTTGAGAAGTTCATTATAAAAGCTCTATTCATATCTGATTGATTTACAAGAGGACTCTTGAAATAAATTTAATCTTTAAAACAAAATCTTAAAAAAAAAATACACAGACAAACAACCCCAATAGCTTTCTTTTACCTGTGGGAAAATGCTAGAAAAAAATTTTCTTGGCTGGGAGCAGTGGCTCACACCTGTAATCCCAGCACTCTGTGAGGCTGAAGCAGGCAGATCACTCAAGGTAAGGAGTTCGAAACCAGTCTGAGCAAGAGTGAGACTCCGTCTCTACTATAAATAGAAAGAAATTAATTGACCAACTAAAAATACATATAGAAAAAATAAGTCGGGCATGGTGGCGCATGCCTGTAGTCTCAGCTACTTGGGAGGCTGAGACAGAGGGATTGCTTGAGCCCAGGTATTTGAGGTTGCTGTGAGCTGGGCTGACGCCACGGCACTCTAGCCAAGGCAACACAGAGAGACTTTGTCTCAAAAAAAAAAATTCTTTCAAATCAATATCAAAACCACAAAATATTCAAGTTTTTCCTATTAAGAAATGCATATAAGATAATGCTATATATAAGACACAAAACATATTAAGAGGACCTAAGATTCTATAACTCACAATGTAAATAGGCTCGAAAAGTTAAGATGTACATAGACCAGACTATAAATAGCAAAATAGGATGTAAACAACCCCTCCTCCCCAAAAAAACTCACAATTAAACAAAAGGATTAAGGCAATAGATTTTAGCCTGAATCACTATAATTAGAACTCCACAGAAAAAGCAAGGGAAAAAAATAATCTAATAACTATTTAAAACTAAGGACCTGAAGAAGTATTGAATTTCCTAATAGTAAAAAATAATTCAAATATTCATGAAAGTCCTATTCAGCATCAACTATCAACTTCAATAGTGGTTCTCCAATTGTGGTTTGTGACCCTGTCAGAGGGCCTATAAGGTCAAAACTCTTTCATAATAATACCAAGAATCATTTCCCATTTTCATTCTTACTCTCTCACTAGAATAGTTGGATAAATAAACTAAACTGGCCAAAGACCAAATCCAGCCATGTCCATTCACTTTCATGTTCTCTACAGCTGCTTTCACACTACAACAGAGTTTAGCAGTTCTGACAGACTTTGTAGCCCACAGAAAATCCTTTAGAGAAAACTGTTGCTAACCTGCTCTAAAGCCTAACAGAATGTGTGCTTACATCTTCTTGTGTTTTCTAGAATTTTCTAACATACTAGGTTTAAAGTATAAACAAGTACATTTTAGACGTTAACTCCGCTTGTTCTCAGTATTTTGACTGTGGTTATACCTGCTAAAATCACATTAACCCCATTAACACCCAATAAATCATTATTCTGAAATCTAAAGTTTTCCTTAAATGCATAGTCAGCCTTCTATAACCATGGGTTCTGCATCGATGGATTCAAACCAACTGTGCAACAAAAATATCCAGAAAAAAAAAAGGATGGCTATGCCTGTACTGATCATATATAGATTTTTCCCTTGTTTATTCCCTAAATGACACTGTATAACAACTCCTTACATAGCATTTATATTGTATTAGGTATAATAAGTAATCTAGAGATGATTTAATGTGTACAGGAGGATGTGTGTAGGTTATGTACAAATACCACACCATTTTATTAATATATAAGTGACTTGAGCATCCATGGATTTTTATATCTACAACGGGGTACTGGAACCAGTCCCCATGGATATCAAGGAACAACTATACACAGAAACACAACTAGATGTACATTTATTTTGCAATAATGTTTTAAAACTTTCTTAGTTTTAATTTAAATTCAGAAAATCAATAAATATAATCTACATACACAAAAGCACTTTGGGGTCTTCAACAATGTTTAAGAGTGTAAAGGTGTCTTGAAACCAAAAAATTTGAGAATCACTGGTTTAAATTATTTGCTTACATAATGTTTACATGAGAATTTGTTTGAATCTACATAAGAATGTTTACTTTTCTCAGTGAATATTGCTAATAAAGGAAAATATATTATTTAAAGTTAAAAAGCATTACAGATCACAAAATAGCAGCTGAAAAGGATCCTAATTCACAAACATGTTCATGTTCACAGTAAGGATGGACCATAAAAAAACCTCAAGATAGGATGAAGTGTTATCTTTTATGCTATGCAGTATTTCTGACTCTCAAATCATCCCTGCTGAAGGAGAGAGTGCCTATGGTAAAGAGCTGTACACACGGAATATGGTGGGCTGACCCAGAGTTTTGTGTCTGTGGTTCATATGCCTCACAATACAGGACAAGAAGATAGCAGGGTAGTGGTAAGGCCAGAGATCCAGTACCTGCTGCACTCTGTGAACAATACAGCAGAGATGAGATGGGCATAAATGCTTTACTGAAAGCCCAAATCAGAGATTATCTGATACACAGGCAACAGCAAGGGTCACTGTGCAGTGAGGTAAGACACAAACGACAGGCAATTCATATAAATATTGTAATCAGTATTAACCTTCCCAAAGCCAAACCAAGAAGCTCTGGAGTCAGCAGTGGGGGAAAAAAGAGGAAAGGAGGAGCAGTAGCATCTGCAGGGAGGTATCTCTTGAGGAGGTCCCCAGGCACTGGGGACAGAGGGCTACATGGTGCCTGACTGAAGGGAGGGAGGAACATAGGTTCACCTTTGTATGACCTGA